TACAGCCCTGACTATATATATATATATATATATATATATATACATGGGCGTTGCTAGGCCACTTTTTTTTTTCATTAAAAATGAAACCGCATATGAAACGATCACGTTGCCATTTTCATTTGAAAATTTAACTTTGCTAGGCCACTTTTTTTTCATTAAAAATGAAACTGTATACTTTATGAAACGATCACGTTGCCATTTTCATTTGAAAATTTAACTTTCAATATAATACATATTACAGTGCATGTGCAAAGAGGTTTGCATACTTTAGCTAAGTTTAGTAAACCATCCCTATTAGTCAAACATTTTTTTATTTATATATATTTTTTTATTATTATTACCCTCATTGGGGGCTGAGCCCCCCTAAAATGAAAATCATAGAATCGCCCCTGTATATATATATATATATATATATATATATATAACAATGTGTAAATGTTCATTGAAATTTGTTACCTGTGATAGTACTGTAGTCTTTAATTCAATGACTTTCATAAATAAAAACATACATAAGCATCTCCAATGTGAAACTCTATAAGCGTAACTGCAAATGTGCCTGCCATGAACCCTAATCTCTGAGGATTTTCTTTCCAGTGATAATTTAGTATGCTCAGATTTGATTTTGATCTGGTCACACTTTTAATTCATAATTATTTAGACCCCAAATATAAATTTGCCATTTAATTATAAGAGTGCAGCTGATTCTCTCTTCTAAACTGGCTGGACGTCTTTTCCCAATGGAATTCCTGCACTCACTTAGAGGACTGGACTGTGATGGCTGTCAAAAATCTTTAACAGCTCGATTCAACCACCACAGGACAGAGATCTGAAAACTCATAGTGTCATTTTGTCAGCCAGTTCAGAAGATTAACACCATATTTCAGTGGCACAATATCAAAAAGTATCTGTCTTTCTTGTAACGAGACTGGAATAGATGGTTAGAATCCAATAATGATGCTGATTAAACATGACTCCTTACAGCAATGAACTAAGAGCATGATATGCATAGTGCTAGAGGGCCACGAGTTGAGATTACAGTACGTCTGGGACAGCCGACCGAAAGAAAAAGTCCGACACCGCCTCACTGCTGCACTTCACAGTGAAGGCTATTCCCATCCTGCCACACACTCTCACACACACTCAAAGCTCCTCTAATAGCACCTGCTGAGAAAAAAGCATCAACACAATAGACTTAAAGCCCTTGTTAATATGTACGTAATTTGTCCCACTGTGGCCTGATTACACTGTGCGCATGTGCATGCTTGTGTGTTTGACCTTGCCTAATGGGGTTAAATGTTTAACAGGCTTTGCGCAATAGACATGATGATGCTTTAAATATTTCAGAGCTCTATAAAAGCGACACCAAGGCCTCTTTCCCTCAGGACAAGCGACAAAAAGTCACAGTTGTCCTTTTAATAGGCAGTGTCTACAGAGGACTCCATCAGGGGGAATGAGACTGAATATTTGTATGGTCCATTAGCTGTCCTCTAAAAATGAGATAGTGAAAAGCAAACACCAAGAGCAGGCACTCACTTTATTATGGGCCATCTAGTGTTGCTATGGTTTCGTGATTTATCTCCATGGGTTAAATTGGACCAGAATGGCATTCTAGCACATGTGATACAAAAAATATTTAAATAAAATAACAATGATAAATGCAATAAAAATAATTATAATAATAATAACAATAATCTTTTTGTTTGACAATCCATTCCATTTCCGTTTGAAAGATGCAGCATGTTCACCTAGACCAGTATTATTCTCTGGAACAGGGTTTTCAAAACTAGGGTCTGCAGTCAGAGGTAAAGCAGTGCTGTGGGGAAAGACAAAAATATACAATAATAACAATAATCTTTTTGTTTGACAATCCATTCCATTTCCGTTTGAAAGATGCAGCATGTTCACCTAGACCAGCATTATTCTCTGGAACAGGGTTTTCAAAACTAGGGTCTGCAGTCAGAGGTAAAGCAGTGCTGTGGGGAAAGACAAAAATATATTTTAAAATATGTCAAATAAATTCAAAATATATATTTATATATTTGAAAGTCAGTTATTAAAATAAAGAAAACATATCTTCCATTTCATCAGAGACACACTCACGCTGCCCAATGAAATTAAAACAAAAATTGGAACCAAATTCACCTGTCCCTGCTATGCATCCAAAGATGTGCAGTAGAAATTTGGTTTGATTTATTAAAAGTTATATTTTGATTGCACTCATGCTGCTACTTTAATCTATCTTTTGTTTGAACTCTCAACTCTTTGATTCTTGTCATATTCTTTCACTCATTTTCACCAGGAGCTCATTGTGGCATGCCACATGCTGTTACAGTAATCGGCATGGGGGAACACATTTGTTAATGTCTTCTGTCAGCCCATATAAAATATGCACATGCAATTGCAAACATGCGTTTGGTCTAGTAAGAGAAAGAAAAAATCACTTTATACACGCAGTGCGACCCCAGAAAGCGGTTTGAAAGTCAGTGACACAGGCATGTCAAAACTGTTTAGCTCTCCTTAATGCATGCACCCCGTCGAGATAAACGTCTATATCTGCCCACAGACGTGGAGAAAATCCGTAAAGGGCCTAAAAAGAGTGATAGCACAAGAGTAAGAGTTGCCGAGGTCTACCATTGAGAAAAAAATAAAATAAAGAAAGAAAAAACAGGTGGTGATCAACATATCATTTTTATAGCACACGATATGATGACTGCATGGCTCATACTGTATGACACACATTAAATTACCATTAGTGGAGAAAACAACCTAAAACAACCTTTTTTCTTGAGTCTGCTGCTTTCCCTAAAAGCAATGTGCAGAAATGATCTTTGGTAAAAAATTATTTATAATAGTATTATAAATTCATTTCAATCCACTTTTCCCTGTACAGTGACAGGTGGCAAATTCCTGGAATTTTAATTGTGACCATCTTACCATACTTAAGCATCATATATCATCAAATACCACCATCAGTTTGTGCCCAGAAAAACTTTAGAGAGCAATCATGTTCTTTTAGTTTCTTGGAGCAGAGCAGAGCAGAAAAGCAGTGAAACCCCATGGCCTCTGTTTTGATCTGTACATCATGTATTGTTTATTACAGCCACATTAGTTTTTATAGATTCAGTTGACTGGTTTTGGAGAGGATGACATCTAACAGCAGAGACGACAGACTAATGAGCGATTTGAAACAGATTCTTTGATTTTTCTCTGCTCTGAATAGGTCTGTAGAGGTCGGGATGTTTTTTTGGTTTTCAGTTCTTGTTTTTCCTCCCCTATTTTCTGGTTAAGGCTAGAAGGGATACAGCAAAAACTACTGGGCATGCACACATCAATATAGCGTAATTTTTTCTCACACTGTACAACAATAATTACTATTTTTGCATTATTGTAAGGGGTAAGGTTTAGGGTTGGGGTAGATGTAGATGTTAATAAAACACAATCTAATAGGCAGAAAATTCAATTTATTGTTAGCTTCTGGTTTTTGCTGTATCCCTTCTAGCCACATCCCTATTTTCTGACACAAATCTTGGCCTCTGAGTTAGTCTGAAAGCTTTGGTCAAAGGCTATTCCTTTGAATGTTGTTGCATCGCTTTTTCTTCTTCTG